GGTGATCAACTATTACAGGGTAAGAATAAAAAATTTCTGATCATTAGAGCGGGATTTTTTTTTTTTTGAAAAAGTTTAATAAAATAGAATGAGTAGTATTAAATGTTAGATATATTCTAGAGTTATAAATGGAACTTAACTTTTTTAGCAATGTTAGATCTAAAAAGATGTACATTTATGATTGATATTAGATCGAATTTAGAGAATATCTAAAGTCTCTCACTGTGTTGAAGGGTAACATAGAATTTAATTTCTACAAATGAAATATAATAAGAAAATAAATAAGAACATACCAAATTCCCATCCAATGCATTTATTAAAAGTTTAGACATGCAATTAAATTTTGTTTGAATAAATTAGTTATAAAAGAATTATTAGGCAATGATCATATTAAAATTTTATGTTTTTGTGATGAATGTTTTTTGAGTGATGCATGAAAGAAAAGTTTAATATGAAATGCTATCAAGTTATGAGGAGTACTTACGATTATGTAATTCATTTTAAATGCGGTCCATAAAAACTATAATCTCATCATGCAAAAAATATTTCTTATTATTGATTAATTATCATATAAAGAATCTATAACTTTAATCTCTTAAAATTTATGAATAAATCATTTGATTTTTTTAATCATTAGTAGATTCTAATAGATAGTCAAAGAAAAAAAAGATAAGTACTAGCACCATTACCAAGTCAATTTTTTTTTATCAAATAAAATAACAATGGGCTTATTATTTTATAGAAAGTATTGCTTAAACTTATAGGAGAATCTTATAAGATGTCAGGGAGCATGCAATGCTTATAGCAAAGAATGTTGGCCTTTAAAAGATAAGCATAAAAGTAAGTTAAAAGTTGCTGAGATTAGAATGTTGAGGTGGATTAATGGCTTGAAACTTAAAGTTAATGCTAAATTAATGTATTTATGAAAGGGTTGGTGCAGCTCTAATGGGAGACAATATTAAAGAGAATCATCTTAAATGGTCTGATTAGATTAAACATTGTCCATCTGATGGAAGGTAGATGCAAACCTAAAAGTTTTGGGCATATTGTATATTAAACTACCTTAATTTATTAGAATTAAATGAAAATATGACACTCAATAGGACATAATGGAGAAAAATATATTAATGTAGCCAACCACAAGGCTTGTTGTTGGTGTTATTGTTGCTATTGTAACTAAAATAACATTGTAAGAATTAAATTATATTAAAGATGAAATTGTTAAAGGTAAATTGTAACAGAATGAGCATTAAAAGAGTTTCAACATCACTATTAAGAAAATGTGAGGTACATGCATGTATTATAGTGTTAGATTACATGAATAATAATGATAAGGGGTAATGATAATAATATCCGATTGTACAAATAGATGTCCATAAACAACTTTAAACAGTTCAACAATGATAGAGATAATATTCGTTAAGGCTAAAAGTATGGGAATTCAGGGTTTTTAGTTCTATGTTATATGTTTAAGTAAGTTAGGATATATTATGAGAATTGAGGGTTTTTAGCTCTATATTCAATGCTTAAATAAGTTTGGATATATATGATAGTAGTAAACTAAAAAGTATAACTTGAGGCATCTGAAAAGGTAAAGGATTATATAATTCACTATTTAGAATTGGATTTAAGTATGTTTTTCAACAAAAAAATTTATCTTTTTTTCATTGTTCAAGAGAAAAATAAAATACCAACATGAAGCAAAAGAGAAAAGAATTAATTTTTATATTACTTCTTTACTTATAAAATCTTTTTGGTGAAGAGTTTGTACAATTTTTAGCTAATAGAATAATAACATTAGAAGGTCTAACATTCAAGATTATCATAATGATATTCCTCAACTAAGCATTATTGATTGTAAAATTGATAAGAATTAGGCTCAGTAGATAAGTGAATTTTTGAATTATAACGTTAATATCGTTTCTATTTATTATAGTAAAAGAGATTTTTGATGGAGATAAAATAAAATTTAAGAAGGATATCAAAATTGGAGAAAATGATCAATGAATTAAGGAAAACTTTGAAGCAATAAAAACATATTTAAGAAAATAATACATGCACGAAAATTCATAGTGCGTTAACGCTTATTAGCAAAGGTTTGTTGTTTTAAAATTTGTATCCAATCTAAAAATAACAGATTCTTAGAGTTGAATGGCATAATTACAAATTTAGGCATAATGAATAAAGGTAAATGTATTTTAATGATTTCTTTTTATCATTACCAAACATTTATTTATTTCCATTATGTTGGATCTTTTTGTAATTTTTTTCTTGAACATGATAAGAGCTGAAAGTAAAGAAAATATGCCAATTTGGTGGATTCATAAATGTGATCTACATTCTACGACCTTATATATATTTTCTTGTGGGAAAGATCGAGAATTTAAGTATGTTAACAAAATCATGCTATGAATTGAATTAATATGCTAAAGTCTGGATTAAATATTTTTGATGAATTGATCATGTTTAAGAATAATTTTAACTAGAGTAAATAATTTACTAACCTTGAATATTAAAAAAAAATGTGTTGATATATCTCATAATGTATTTGGATGATATTTCAATATATTGCAAAGAAAACCTAAAATCTATATGATTAAAGTATTACAGGAAAGATTGAAAAGATAATATCAATGTGCTGGTTGGAAGTTTATAATAAGTTTACTAAAGATATATCACCATGATTACCAAGTCACTTTCCAACAATAATTTTCTTCCAAAATGCTTGACAACGAATAGTTCGAAATACAGCTGAGCCTTTCCTGGTTACTGGCTAATAGTTATTTGCAGTTTATAACTGAGATTCAATGCAAAGATCGTAGAAGAAAGAAAAAAGAAATTTTTTACTAGAAAAAGTATAGTTAGGAAAATATAATCATCAAAATATGTTGTTTGATTAGTCATATAAAATGTGATTTGTATAGCTTTTAAATAATCCTGCGAGAGTTTTAAAAGAGATGAGAAAAAAGAGAGAGATCAATTTTCTTCTTGTGCAACTTGTGTCTAATATTGTTAATAGTATGACATATTTAATTTCAGGTAAATATCCCGAGCAACAGTATGTCTAATATTGTTACAGTAAGATGTGGTCATTGTTCCAATCTTTTATCAGCGGATATGAGGGGTATGGTTCTAACTGACACTCAGCAAAATAATCAGGTAAACATTTGCTTACATATGCAATCCTTCATGCGTAGAGTTTAACATATCTCTGCTTTGGCAGGATTAATTTCAGTATCTCAGCATGCTATAGGAAAAATATTTGCTGTCAGCTTTAGTTTATTTTTCACTGTTTAGTAGCTGTAGGCTTATGTGAAGCCCAACCAATGCGCTATCTCAATAATGACTGAATATGGATCTTATGGCTTCACTTTTGCAAAAGTAATGATTTTGAGTCAGATATGTTTCGAAGAAAAAAAAGATTTTTTTTTCATTATTATTATTTTTTTTTTTGGTTTTAACTAGAAGTATAACTTAGGGCTTAGCGAGCCGAACACGAGCTGTTCACGAACAAAAAGACTTTTTGACAATCCTAATCACGTATCCATAAGATGTTAAGAATTGGGAAAAGATTAAAAAACTATTGCTTATATTAAAACATCATTTGAATCTAATTTAATAATTTTTATTCTATTTTTTTAATTAGTATTTTTAATTGATTATAAATCTGTGTAGCTTGTACCCAATTAATTCTTTTAAAACAGTATTTGGAGCCAAAACAAGCCGAACACGAGCGAACAAATCTTAGTTCTTGTTCGGCTCATTAACTTAGCAAACAAACCGAACACGAGCTTCTTAACGAGCCAAACATGAGTTGTTTGCGAATAACGAGCTATTTTGACCGCCCTAATTTTAACATGATGTCAACACAATTCATAGGATGTTATTATGACATCCATAATCCATAAAAGAGTCTTTTCTATTGCGTATTTTTTACAAGGTTTGAAAATTATGAGAAGTGTTATACTTCAATAACTTAATCAATAAATTATGTTTTTTTAACCATTCTAATGTATTTGTGTATCATGACGCCATAATAAAAGACATATATATAATGAAATTATTATATTACTGAAGAGTTCCTTTTATTTTAAATAATATATATATAGTTTTTTTAACTATTTTAATATATTTGTGTATCATGACGCCATAATAAAAGACATATATATTATGAAATTATTATATTACTGAGGAGTTCCTTTTATTTAAAATTATATATATATAGTTGGCTTATTCATATATAAAAAGTGTGTAAAAATTGCACCTAATAAAAATGAATATGTACTTGTAATTTTTTGTAAGAAATTCAAAAGAAAAGCAATTAATTGAAGATAAGCGATTTAAATTTGACCAATAAACTTCTCATAAAACACTCAAAAACTACAAATTAGAAATGTCCGAATAAGATTTAAATACTTACAAAAAGTGTTTGGATTTATTTTTATTAAACTTCGAAGGATCGGAATACAAACATGAAGTATATACCTGCATGCTTTATTGCATACGAACATCGTATTCAAAAATGCATGCGGTCTTCATTCTCCACCGTTCATCACAACAGAGGTACATGATAGTGGGTTCTATTTATTTATTTTTAAATTAAAAAAAAATTAATGCATAGTAAAAGTCAGATACCATATGCATTTCTCTTTCTATACATGATTTCCATATGCAATAACTTATGCAATAATTTTTCATATAGAGTTACGTGGGATAAATATATTTAACTATGATTTTTTTGAAACATAACATGAAACATAGTGGGTTTTGGTGGCAGGAAATTCAGTACGACATGAAAACTGAGGATCTCCATGTGCATCTGGGGTCAGTTTCTGAATGCAGTAGGGCATCAGAAGTCAACACATTTGGCGTTGGTCAACAAAGAATTCTGCCAAATCGCCGTAAGAACAGATTTTCTTAGTTAAAATAATTATTAAACAAGTTTGTCACCTAGTTTATCTCATTTACTTCATCATGCAGCACAAAAGGGGTTAATAAAACAATATATTAATTGATTTTTATTATTTTGGAAAAAAAAATTTAGGCTATATAACAGTGCAAAAAAATATTTTTCTTTATACAAAATCTGAACATTATGTAATTATCTACTTTTATTTAAAAAAAGAAGGGAAAGTAATAAAGCTGTAACTTCCAAATACTCTAACAATTATTCTGTTTGAATTTCACCTTTTGTCTTCTAACCAGCACCAGAAAAGAGGCAGAGAGTACCATCAGCTTATAACAAGTTCATTAAGTAAGTTCATAATATCTATTCTCTTTCAAGTCTTATAAACTTCATTTACATATTAAAAAACAAGTGACTTTATAAAAATCACAAGTAAGAAAGATTACATTTTTATTTCCCGTTTTATAAATGAAGAATTCATTAGAGGGTGTTTGGTAGAACCTTTTAACAGGAATTGTCATAGAATTTACTAAGTCCAGGCAGTAGCTAAAATGCAAGAGATATGTGCATTTATGAATTTTTTAAATGTTAAATCCTACTCTCATCCAGACACCTTCTTAGGGTTATAAATCAAATACCAACTATTTGGAAACAGCTATGACATTATATAAAAATTCTTTTTTTTTTTTTTCCATGTTAACAGGGAAGAGATCCAAAGAATCAAAGCAAGTAACCCTGACATTAGCCACAGGGAAGCTTTCAGTGCCGCAGCTAAGAATGTAAGTTATAAGTTTTGTTAAGAAGTAGAAACACCAAGTATCAACAACTAGCATTAATATGCACGGCTACTTTAGAATTTCTTTTAGCATTCTGAGCCATACAAAGCTTGATTATGTCTTTCTTCTGCATTTCCTTCCGTTTTGATGCCATATCTTATTGATCAAGCGGTTGATAATGAAATATGAGCCATACTTCACAAAAAAAAAATAAAAACAAAAATAGAAAATATCATATATCCATCAACCACCAAGTTTATTTCAATCCTATAATGTAAGTTTTATGATAAATTGATCTAAAAAAAAGCAAAATGAAATCAATAATTAACCTAAAGTAGCATACTATGTATATATTAATTTTAAAATAAATAAAAAGCACTATAAACCCAAAAAATTCAAGGAAGAAATCATTTTAAAAAAAGGTGAAACCATACCATGCCTTACATGTGAGAGGTGCTGCCATATGCAGGTTTTCTTAAACTGAAAGAAAGTATTTTAATCAGTCAAATTAAAATAAAAAATTTCTAACCTATCCAAAAGTAAGAAAAACAAAGGTAGAAGGAAAATAAAATGGAAAAAATTGATTTTAGCATATAAGATTCCTTTGTGAGCTTATAATCATAAATGTGAATATCATATCAGGTTCTAAGACACAACAAAATTAAAATTATCTCTTGAAACTTATGTTTAAATCATTTTTCTTGTCCAATTTCACCAGCGGTGATTTCATTGTTTCTATGCTCAATATGCATAACCTGTGTAACGTGCTGATTCAAATTGTCATGATCTCAATCTACCTAGAACAGTTAGATTCCACATTAATACAACCCCACAATGTCATTATCATCAAAATTAATATGATTAGTATTTAGAA